TCACTTGTGACCTGATGTTTAATTTTTTTGAGACAGCCAGCTATAAAAGTTTAAAATTAAGGCCTCCTTTGCTTTATCCTTCTTACCTTACCTCCCATTTCTGGAGCTTTAGAAGTAATTTCAAGTTTTCTTCTTTCCCCTCTGTGTTCAGGGTTGCACATGGTCTTTTACTGGTCTAAGTACATTGCCACAGAGGGTTGTAGTTTGTCTCACAGTATTGCAATATTTGTCCAATTGAAAATGCTGTAGAGAAATAAAAGGAGTGTCTTCTGAAGTCTAAAATTAATGAAACAACACCCAAAACCTAATAAAAATGTTGCAAGAAGAAAATATTATAAAAAGAAATGAGCTATGACAGAGAACAAGCAATTACGCTGGCAACAATAGTAAACACCTTTGTGACTCATGGCCCATACTTATACATACATATACTGCATTTGGTAAGAAAAGCAATGCTGAGAGCAAGAATGAGCACAATATCCTCTAACTGTGTAAGAATGGCTTTGAAAGATTATATGGAACTTGATTAGTAGGCTGGGAAGAACGTGAGATAGTCACAGCAGCTTTAAATATAGACTGGAGCCTTAAGTTTGAGTATGCGAGGCATGAAAATGGAGTTTTGGCATGGCCACATGAAAGCTGAGAACATTCAGATCTGTCAGAAAAAGGAGAAAAAGTGACAATGAGAAAAAAATTCAACACTGCACCTAAACCTCTGGATTAGCATTTCAAGTAAAATCACTACGCTCATCCTCTTTCTCTCCTTTCTGCTTTCCTAATCAGTACTAAATCACTTGGATAAATAGACCAGCTTTTTAAAGAAACAGCCTTTAAGGTCTTTATGCTTTTTCATAAAGAGCAGGAGTAAGTGGTTTTCTTTTTTGTGGGGGGAGGTTGGGTGGAGGGGGCAGAAGTTTCATCCTCTGGTCAATCACAAGCTCTGATCTGTGGTGAGTTGAAGTCAGATGTTCAGACACTGGTTGGATTCACAGTTAGCATCCGGGGAAAATTCCAGAGCTCAGGGGTGTTTATTGGACCTCCTGGTCAGTGCTAAGCCCCTTTTTTTTCACAAGAGTCTGTGTGTGTGTCTGTATGTCTGTGTGTACATATGTAATATATAGGTAAAGCTCAACTATTATTAACAAGTTGCCTGATCTAGAATTATTCATGGAATGAGCAAGAGGGAGTCATAAAGGCAACCTGTTTGTAGTTCCTATCCAGCAATCCCCGTAGGCTGAATCCCAGATCTTTGACCATATCTAAGCAAAGATCATATTTTATTTCCTGTTTTCTATATACTTCTCCCAGCTGCCAGTCAATGTGTTGGGTTAGATGAACTTTGTTCTGGTTCAGCAATGAATAATTGTGATGCTGTATGCTCATCCATGGTCTACTGCAAGATCCTCAGCACAAAAAATGAGTGAAACATCTATGCCTGTAGAAGTGAGTTGGAGTGTTTGTTGAGTGTATTGTGATTAATGACATTTATGGTGCTGTTTCCCTGCTTTGAAGAAGGGAAATTTTCTAGTTGTCATGCAGGACATTAAGGAAGAAGGAGATGAACTGGGACAGAGGAGAAGGAACTCTCCATAAGGGTGGAAGTGCAGGGGACCTGAGCATGGGGACCAGAGCTGATGGATTCTGGGTTTAAAAACGAGTTTTCTATTAGCAGAGAGTAAAAGAAATCCCAAGGTTTCCATAGCCCAGTGGGAATATTTGGGCAGTGCTGTGTAACATTCAGTAATTAGAGTGAATGGCATTCAAATGTTTCACCTTTTCTCTGGTGAACATTTATGTGATTCAAGGTGAAGTAAATGAGGTATAACATGAGAAATCCACAGATTTCTGCTTCAGAACATCCCAAAGGAGGAAATGGTCTGGGGTAGGCTCATGGTAGTCATAATCTTGCTTCCCTCTGGCTAAAAGGAGCATTTTCATCCTGGATTTCGCAAATCCCTGTAAGCGTGAGATGTTTGCCCAAGTCTCCCCTAAAAAGATGGCTCAGCAGAGCAAGCATTGTGACAGGACCCTGCAAACCTACTCAGGCATGTAACTCCTGGATGAGGCAAGGGTTACAGCCCTTGCTGGTTGATCTGTGTGCTTTAGCACAAGGCTCCCACGCAGCACACTGGCTTTTGTGAACGTGCTCCTGGCTGTGTAGGAGGGCAGTGCCAAGGCAGTCAAACCAAAGAAATCTTCTACTGCTCCAATCCCCCTCCCACCTCCACTGATCCCGTGGGAAGACTATTTAGGGAGATGATCCAGCAAAACCCAAGCAGCACTGCCCTCCGCCCCCCTGGTTACCCACAGCTATTTGTTTTGTTGTGTTTTCCACAGGGTAGGTTTCCAGCCAGCTGGCCTCGCTCACCGGCCATGGTCCCGTGATGTGAGTGCCAGTGATGATGCTCCTTAGGAGCTCGGGGGGGGATGGTGACAAACAAACTTGGATACCCTGAGCCAAAATATGTCCCAGCATGCCTGAGTATAAATATACAAAAGGCATCAGAATCAATAAATTATCTGCATGCTATGTACCACACGGTGATTGGCAGTGAGAATAAGGTCAGTGCTGTGGCTAGCCTTACACGCTTAAACCTGAGCAGGATCCCCCCACTCCTCTGGCAGCACCGTGTTGCAGAAGTGACCCTCTGACTTCAGTGGAAATGCCTGTCTTTTCCAAGCAGGGGGAAACCATGGCACTGTCTGCTCCCAGTCCATTCCAGCTCGCTCTGCTGTGTCAATTCAAAGGGAGCAAATAGCCACTTCTTGTTCATGTTTTCAGCGAGTTCTAGCTGTGCCTTGAGCAAAGATAAGGGAATGTGGGGGTTACAGCTTTCTAGACCACAGAGCAGTGTCTGTCTGGGGTGAAACACTGCATGGTGGCAGAAATACATCTCTGTATGCTCAGATAGTTGAAGTTCACACCAGCACTGAAATTCAACAAGGGAAGAGTATGTAAGATTGTCAACAGTTCTTTAAAGAAATGTTTTGTACTTTTGAGCACAAACCAGTCCCAAACTTTCCTATCCAGGAAATTATTCTGTTTCAGTTATTTGTATTGAAATGAAAAGTATATTTTGCTCCTATTCACTCTCTTTTAAATGCATATGAACTCAAGAAGCTGTGCAGACTATAGGTATGTGGAACAGCAACAGCTGTACTGTACTCAGAAAGATAGATATGTAGACAGGCTCTGTATCCTGGAAATGGTCTTGACATCCTTAGCTCTGCACACAAAACTCTTCAAGTGCCTTTCTTTCCCTTTCTCCACACTGGGGAAAAGTGCAGAGAAAGGGAAAGAACAGGCCACACCAACAGGCCAAGGGAAAGAATGTAGTGACAGAACATGGGGGAATGGCTTCCCGCTCAAAGAGTAGGTTTAGATTAGATATTAGGAAGAAATTCTTCATCGTGAGGGTGGTGAAACACTGGCACAGGTTGCCCAGAGGAGCTGTGGGTGCCCCAGTTCCCAGAAGTGTTCAAGGCCAGGTTGGATGGGGCTCTGAGCAACCTGGTCTAGTGGAAGGTGTCCCTGTCCAGAGCAGGGGAGTTGTGGATAATTTTTAAGGTTCCTGCCAACCAAAACCATTCTATGATTGTATGAAATTCTCTGTCAGATCCAATTGACTCCCAAGAGATGCACACAGCTCTGCTGTTAGTACAGCACCGTGACAAAAGAACCAAATACACCCACAGAGCCCACTGCATAAACAGCCTTTACCAAATTTGCAGCCCAGCTTAGCCCTTTAAAAATATTTGGGGGGGGTGATGTCAGCACCTGGATTGCCAATGCACTTGTTGGTCTCCACCCTCAGCCTACTTTAGCTCCCACACAGGGACAGAGCACCCAGACCGAGTGGGAGATAGGCAGAAGCTTGGAGGGAAAGATTATCTGCAGTGACCCAAAGTCCAGAGGCAGAACCACTGGGCTCCATTTACCTCCTCAAGGTAAAAGAACTGGCTTACTTATTAGGTCAGATTTTCTCCTGTGCAAGGACATAGAAGGCTGGCAAAACAACTTGAAAATGTAGGAATTCGTTAACTGCATGCACTAGGCTTTTAATATTTAATCTGCAAACTAAAGCAACTTCAATTGAAACTCTCTGTCTTCATGCTGGTGTGGTCCCAAGGCTTCTCATTTGCACCAGAGATGTTACAGCCTAATCTGGTTGTGCAGCTGAAATTCTTTGTCTAGACTTAATGTTTCATTTGTTTAAGGGTTCTTTATTTACATGGTATGCAGAGACTAGTGCATGATATTTCTGATAAAGTATTCTCTTTTCTCTGCATGAATTCCAAAATCATATAAAATTCAAAAATTGCTGTCATAAAGTAAATAAAGGCAATAACCAACAGAAAAGTTTATGAGTACTACTTGAATGGGATTTTTGAAAACTGAGACTTTTAGCATTTTTTAATTCAATTTGTCCTTTAAATTTCAGGAAAGGCAGAAGTTTATTGAGAAAATACTATTTCATCTGTGGAAATGACTCACAAAATATGTGAAGTTCTTCAGAAATTAAAATGTCTAACCTCAGGTTCTCCTTGTACTTTTAGTAGTACCAAATAATTCACATTTATTAATCTTTCTCTATAAAATAATAGTTTGCACTTAATTTTTTAAAAACAATACACCTACAAATATAGGAATTAAAAAACTCTTAACAGTAGTCTATTTACAATGTATACTTGTTGAAATGGGTCTTGGGCATTATTTATTTGAGAACACTTGCAGAAAGCAGCATTGATTTACACAGACTGCTCACACCTGTGTACTCTATTTTGGGGTGACACTGGGAACGTCCTTGCTGGAAATCAAAGAAGGTGATAAGCTGCCAAAGATGACTTTTACTTCTTAGCACCCCAGTGCTTTCTGACTCCTGGCCACTGAAACAACATTTATCTAGACTGACATAAAAAACTCTATGGAATCTGCCACCTTCATGCATCTGTCCTTTACATATTTTTCTTTTTCTTTTTTGTTTTTAAGAGCCTGTGACCTTAAGGTTGAGCTCAAGGACACATCCAAGCAAGTCACCAGAGTTTTCCCTTTGCTCTGCCTGCTGACCTCTGCTCTCTCCTCATTATTCCCAAAAAATGGAACTTTCCACACGAGAAATTTGCCTCAACTTCATGGTTGTCCTGGTTACTGTAATCCTCATGTGGCTCCTTGTGAAGTCTTACCAGGATTGAAAGACTCTCAGAAACCCTGGAGGTGATTTCACTGTGTGCATCACACATATCAGTGGCACCCACAGCATGCCACAGCAATTAGCTTTCAGTCAATTAAGGATGTTGTGAACCTTTATTTTTTCACTCTCTCCTATCTGTTGCCTGTGCTAATGTTTGTAATGGGTCTGAGATGGTGTAATTCTTTCAGTCTGCAGAGGTCCAGCTGTAAAGTGTAAGATGCTTAGGAACAGCTTGATGTGGCTGTCTCCTCTATGGTAGTTTCTGTGCGTGCTGTACTCCCAGCCCACCGTGCTGGCTTGTTTGGCAGCAGTGTTGGGTTCTGGAGGGTGTAAAACTGCAGTGTGTAATGTAAGAGCCTGTATTATCCAATGTAAAAGGCATAAACTGGCTTAGCAGAAAGGAATGTGAAACCTCTGCTTCCACTTGCACATTTTGTTTAAATAAAGACCATGTAAAACCATTTTTTGGAGCATTCCTTATCCCTCTCCTGACCTGAGCCAATAATAGATGTGGTACAGTTTGATATGAAAGTGGGGTGGTTTCCTTGTTCCTCCTACTTACATTTCAATTTGTATTTTTTAAAAAGTGCTGTAGGATGGAAACTCTGCAGCTTAGCAGACATGTAATCACACATATGACCTGTTTGAGTGATTTTCTGTCCAGAGAGACTTACACCCTTGGTGCCTGTGGGCACGGACTTCAAAGAGAGCCTTTGTCCCACTGGAACATCATCAATAATCGCGTTTTCTGAAGCTCGATTTCAGGCAGGGATTCCCACAGTTTTATTTTGGGCCAAGCTATTTTTGGAGCAGTGCCGGCAGGGATGAGCCTGGCCAATTGCAGGCGTAGGCTCCTGCTGGCGCCCCAGCCCAGCCATGAGCCTTGCCCAGAGCAGAATTCCCAGTGGGACATGCCAGGTGTCACAGCACAGCTGTGGCCAGCCTCAGGAGGCTGAGGTGTGACTGTGTCGGGGTTGCTGTGATGGTGTCGTCGCCTGCTAAAACATCTTGAGCCAGCTTGAAGAGCCCACAGCTCCTGGGCTTGTGAATCAGTAATCAAACTCCTCCCAGGAATTCCCCATCTGTCATTTTAATGGCTTCAGAGAATCAGCATCCTCTACAAAGTACAGCTTCCTGTAGGAAGGCAGTTTAGTATGTGCCATGATGCTGATACACATTGCTTTCCCTTCCAGGGGCCTGAAGGAGCAGGCAGCATTGCAGGGCTGTGCTGGTGAGGCAGAGCTGCCCCTCACAGGTGGGATTTGGCCCTGGGTTTTAGGGAAAGAGCAAATACTCTGTTAGCACCACTTATTAAGGGTTTATGTTGCTTCGAGTTTGCTAATAAATGAGCCCTTTCTCTGTGTCATTTGTACTGTCTGTCTGGCTTGCAGTCTTGCAGCTTATGCCTCTCATTCTCCCAATCAAGGAACCCCCACTGCAGTGCAAGGCTAAAAAGCCATCTCTTGTTTATTCTTGGCTGCAAATGAGCAAACTTACCTCCAGCACTTCTGGGGATGGCAAATTTTCAGAAAAAAAGTGCTGAGACATTGAAATTAACTTCTGTCAGTTATGGACACAGCCTTTCTCTGCAGCCTACCTTGCACCAGATCCTGCTCTTTTACCAGTATTGCACATGGTCTGCTTGTGTTCAAAAGCTTGGCTGAGACCTGCAAGCAATGGCTAGAGAAGGACATGGAAAATCTATTTATACATACCATGAATACTTGATAATTTAATATGAAAGATGAGAATCTTTCACTGGCTGTAACTCCCAGAAGAGAGCAATACCATGGACTCATCCCAGTCTAGCAAATAAAAAAACAGAGGTGTGGTCTTCACTGCCTGAACAAGCAATGGTTCAGAAACAGTTCAAAGTGATCCTAGCAGTTTTCAGTGTGTAATAAAAATTGAATTGATAGAATGGCTTGGTTTGCAAGGGACCTTAAAGTTCATCTAGTTCCAACTCCCTCTGCCAAGGGCAGGGACACCTTCCACTGGACCACTCCTTCACTTTAGGTTCATTCCCCTTGTCCTATCACTACATGCCCTTGTAGAATGTTCCTCTCCAGCTCTCCTGCAGACCCCTTTAGGTACTGGAAGGCTGTAGAAGGCATTCCCAATGCCTTCTCTTCTCCAGGCTGAACAGCTCTCTCAGCTGGTCTTCATAGGAGAGGTGCTCCAGGCCGCTGATCATCTTTGTAGCCTCCTCTGTACTCACTCCAGCAGGTCCCTGTCCTCCCTGTGCTGGGGCCCCAGAGCTGGTGCAGCCCTGCAGGTGGGCTCTGAGCAGAGCAGAGGGGCAGAATCCCCTCCCTGGCCCTGCTGCCCACACTGGATGCAGCCCAGGACACGTTTGGCTCTCTGGGCTGGGAGCGCTCATGGCTGGATCCTGTTCAGTTCTCATTATCTGATGCCCTCAAGTCCTTCTCCTCAGGGCTGTCAATCCATTCTCCACCCAGCCTGTATTTGTGCTGAAAGATGCTAAGAAAATATTCTGGACAGTTTGGGCCATCCACAACTTTCAGTCACCAATCTTTTTCAGAATTGACATGCATCTGACTGACAATATGATTAAGGTAAATCACCTTGAACAAGTTCCTAAAAGTGAGAATACCAGCATAAGTGGTTCTCTTTCTCCTTCAGGCATTTCTAGTTTCCAAGCAGATTTTGAATGAGATAAATTACTTGCCTAGGTCATTTGCCTGAAACTGAGGCAAAAGACAATTCGACATTTAGTGCCAGATCCTGTGAAGAGACAGCATTTTATAGGTGTACAGGCACAATAACATCAAAGAACTTCAACCAAATACAGATATGTAAATACAAAATTTCGTAGTTTGGGAGACCTTAATGTAGGTGTTTGGTGTGACCCTTAAGGTTCAAACTCTGTTCATTACCTTCTTGGTCACCAAAGAATCCCTAGATGAGACATGGCTTTGTGCAGATGCATGTTGTCATGATTTTCCACCCCTTTGCAGTATAAAGGAGATGGAGAACATCAGACAACTTCTGGGCTAACAGTGGTTTGTCTTTAGTTTATCAGTCAAATTATTTTAGGCAAAATTTTCATTAGAACAATACTTTAGTGTAAGGGCTCTAGCCCTTGTAGCTTCCCTGGGTAAAGTGTTCCAGTGCTTGACTGTCCTCACAGTATAAAAGAGTTTCCTTATGTTTAAATGTGTTTCCTGCCTTTGAGTTAGTTCCCATTTCCTCTTGTCTCATTGTTGGGCATCACTGAGAAGGGTCTGGCTCTGTCTTGTTCATTCCCACCCACCAGGTGTTTACACACACTGAGAAGATCCCTCTAAGCCTTGTCCAGGCTGAACAGTCCCAGCTCCTTTAGCCTCTTTTCATCAGATGCTTCCTCATCTTCATGACCCTTTGCTTTCACCCTCTGCCTGTCTCTCTTGTACTGGAAAGTCCAGCTCTGGACACAGCATTCCAGACGTGTCTCCAGTGCTGAGCAGAAAAGAAGATCACCTCCCTCAGTCCACTGCCAATGTTCTGCCTGGTGCAGCACAGGAGTCTTTTTGGCTTTTGCTGCAAGAACCCATTTTTGGTTCATAGTAACCCCAGTGAGCCTCAGGTTCTCTGCAGAGCAGCTTTCCAGCTGCTTGGCCCCTCCTATGTTTTGTATGTCAGCATTTGGCCCAAGAGAAGTTTTACACAGCATGCCCAGGACATCAGTGCAGCACAGTTCTTGCTCATCGGGAGGATTGCCCACGTGATACTTTACTACCCTGTTATAGACGGAAAATGAGATTATTTGCTCTCGCAATTATAACTATTGTGTGAATGTTAAGAAAAGCTTCAGTGATGTATAGTTATGTTATTGTAGTTTAGATGTCCTCTGTTCTCCCCATAGTTCCCTTTCCCCCCCTGTATTGTTGCCATCAGACAGCCAGGGTTGTCTAGGACAGGTAAAAAGAAGGTGTCCATGTGTCCCTTGTATGGGGAAGTTGGGAATGGGAAAAGCTTGTTGCTTAGGGGGTGTGGCATGGCAACATCTGATGTCTAATCAAGTTACAAGAAAATGGTTTCCATCGATAAACGGCAAAGAAGAGCAGAGTGACGGACTTTGGGAGGGGCCAGGGCTGGCTGATGCAACCCCCAGGAGTATAAAGGACTGAGCATCCATCTTGCAGATGAACTGTGTGCGTGGTGTGCACGAGGGGCAGTTCCCAGCACTGCAGCTTTTTCCTTATGTAGTCCTTTGTTGTATTTTTGTCAAGGCTTAATAAACCTTTTTAAATTTTCAAAGTGTGCAGTTGTTTCTCACATACCCCATCCCTCTGCCATCCCACCTCCTTTGCTAAAGGCACTCTGTGCAGCAGAAGCTGCTCACGATGAGCAAAACTGTGGTTGCTCAGGACTGACCTGGCTCAAACGAGGTAATTTTCACTCTGCCACCCACACACAGAACCAGAAGCCCAGCAGCAGTCTCTCCATTCCCTTTACTGGGCTTTGGATCAGACTGTAGCTACCTAACTCTAGATGTTCAGATTTCGGAAGCTTGACTCTAGGCCTGGTCATGTGGAATTGCTAAGCCTTTAGTACCTCATTCCAGAGAAGCTCAAGACACAGGATGTTCAGCATGCTTTTGGGAAAAATCAGACTGCTAGTTTATGGGTCTGCATACCAACCTAGAACAAATTTAGGCACCAAGATTTGAAACTTTGGCGAATCATTAGAAAATTGTTCAGTGGGGTCTACCAGAATGTTTTTACCCATCCAATAGGTTTTCAGTTGAAACCAGTTTATCTAATTTTTTTTCAAGAAAATTGTTTTTATCAAGGAAAAATAAAATTTGTCAAAGGCAAACGTCATGTATGAAAGCCAACTGTGTCCATTTTGCTTTTGAATGATGTGTCAAAGCTGCTGTAGGCCGTGTGACCTGTGTCCCCTTCTCCTTTATTGCCCAGGCTCCAGGCCAGGCAGGCTCTCTATCCCATGTTGCATAACCAATCACTCTCATGATGTGCTACATCCAAGCAACAAGGTATGAAATTCTCATGCAATGAGAGAGAGGTGAGTATGGGAAAAAGAAGTGGCTGACATCCGGGATCTGCATGTGCTGCTTCCTAAAGGGATTGATTACAAACATTTTCTTAGTGACATTTTTTAGTTTGCAAAGATTCACTCAAAATTCAGTTTTCTGTGGGGGAAAAAAATGGCACACTCTGTAAGCTCTGTGTTCAGCAGATGGAATTATATAACATGAAATG